CTCTGATGGACGTTTGACCTCCCCTACTAACTGCCTAAAGGAATTTAACTCTGGGTAGGGACAGACTGGCAGGGTCCTTGCTAAGCCCATTCTTAACAAAGTTCTGTTTACCAAATATTTACATTTGTAAAGGTATCTCCCTCTGTGTAGTGGGAAGAGGGGGGGATGACCTTAAGTGTGAAAACTCTTATGAGGACAGAAGAAGAAGACTTAAATGTACATACTCTTGATTACTATAATTCCTGTCTCCCTGGCCACGTTCTTTATAGGTGGCCCTGCAAAGCATTGTCTGACAAGCGTTTACATTTCCCTCTTCATGTAAATTGTCTTCTTCCCCTCTGAAATCCCAAAACACCACCCACCCCCAACATCCTCCTTTGTCTTTAGCTGAAGATGGTATTTAAGATGAGAATCACGGCTATTGTGTTGACAAACTCAGTTTCCCTGGTTTCTCCCATGTATACGTGTTATTAAACTTGGTATCATTTTCTCCTGCTAACCTGTCTTGTTAATTATTTGGCCAGCCAGGAGAACCTTAAGGGAAAGGGCAGAGGGAGATTCTCCCCCTTCCCAGACAGTGTCCTAGGGCTGCTGTAACAAATTACCAAAGACAGGGTGGCTTGCAAAAACAGAAATTTATTCTCTCATAGTTCTGGAGGCTAGAAGTCCAAAATCAAGATGTTGGCAGTGTCATGCTCTCTCTGAAGGCTCTAAGGGAAGAGCCTTCCTTTCTTCTTCCTAGCTTCTGGTGGTGGCAGGCAGTCCTTGGCATTCTTTGGCTTGCAGCTGGGTATTTCCAATCCCTCTGTGTACTAAGGGCATTCTTCCCTCTGTCTTTGTCTCTGTGTCTCTTCTCCTTTTCTTATCAAGACACCAGTCATAATTGACTAAGCCCACCCTATTCAAGTGTGACTTCATCTTAAGTAATTACATCTGCAATGAGCCTGTTTCCAAATAAGGTCACATTCACAGGTACTAGGAGTAAGGATTTGGATACATTTTTTAGGGGACACAGTTGACACAACAGTTTTTCTGTCCCTGGAAAATTCATGTCCTTTCCATGTGCGAAATGCATCTACCACATACCACCATTCCCAAAAGTGTTAACCAGTCCAGCATCAACTTTAAGTCTAAAGCATCATCTAAATGTAATCATCTCAAAATGTTCGAAATTTCATCTTTGATATCATCTGATCAGGTATGAGTGAGACACTGGGTATAATCCATCCTGGGCCAAAATTCCTCTCCATCCACAGATCTGTGAAACTAGAAAACAAGTTATCTGCTTTTGAAATATAATGGTGGGGCAGGCATAGAATAGACATTCCCATTCCAAAAGGGAAAAATTAGAAGGAAAAAAGGGGGTCACCATGTCCCAGATAAGGCTGAATCCCAGCAGGGCAAATTTCATTAGATTTCAAGGCCTGAGAATAATTCTCCATGCCTTACTGTTTTGATCTCTGGGCTCTGCTAAGGCAGCAGCCTCAGCTTCTTGTTCCCCATGGTGGCGGCCCTGCCCTCTCAGCCCACCAGGGCAGTGGCTTCAGGCTTTTGGGCCCTTGGAGTCATTCTTCTTTGATTTCATCCCATCTCTGTCCCTTTCATCTGCTGGAATAAGTTTCTTGAAAACCTTGTTGGTCATCTGTGGATGTCATAGGGATCCACATCGTTAGACACAAGAGGTCTCTCCAGATCCTTCCTGGATAACTCCATCTCTACTCTTGGCTTCTGCTGAGATGGTTGATTGGATCTGTAAGTCATATGCCTAATCTCTCTAGCAAACAGTTGTTCTGCCATGCCCTTGGCTCTGTTTGAAGAACATGACATCTGGATAGGTTGAGAATATTCCAAATCATCAAGCACTGGTTCCATTTTGCTTAACATTCCTTTCTTGATTTATCTCTTTCTTCTTTCATTTTACTGTAAGCGGCAAGGAGAAACCAGGCCACACCTTTCACACTTTGATTGGAAATCTCCTCAGCTAAATATGCAAGTTCCTCACTTACAAGTTCTATTTCCACCACTGAATAATAGAGCACAATTCAGCCAAGTTCTCTGCCACTTTATAAAAGAATTGCCTTTACTCCAGTTTCCAATAATGTGTTTCTCATTTCCGTCATTTCCAATAGCAAATTTCTATCATGAATGAATATTTAATTTTGCCAAATGCTGTTTTTGTATCTCTTGAGGTGATCAGATACACATTCTCCTGTTCTTCTACCATTCTTTTTTTTTTTTTTTTGTGAGGAAGATCAGCCCTGAGCTAACATCCATGCTAATCCTCCTCTTTTTGCTGAGAAAGACCGGCTCTGAGCTAACATCTATTGCCAATCCTCCTCCTTTTTTTTCCCCAAAGCCCGAGTAGATAGTTGCATGTCATAGTTGCACATCCTTCTAGTTGCTGTATGTGGGACGCAGCCTCAGCATGGCCGGAGAAGCAGTGCGTTGGTGCATGCCCGGGATCTGAACCCGGGCTGCCAGTAGTGGAGCGCGCGCACTTAACCGCTAAGCCACGGGGCCGGCCCTCTCCTGTTCTTCCAATATGATGAATTACATTGATTGATTTCCAAATGTTAAAAAGCTTTGCATTTCTGGGATAAACCTGAAGATTGTGGTTGACTTGATTTCCTAATATTTGTTGAGAATATTTTCATTTATGTTCATGAGGGTTATTTTTCTGTGGTTTTCTTATTATGCTTTTGTCTGGTTTTGGTATTGGAGTAATGCTCATCTCATACGATGAGTTGGGAACTATTCTAAAGGGTTTCTGTAGGATTAGTATTATTTGTTTCTTAAAGGTTTTATAGAAAATTCACCATCTGGGCCTACATTGTTCATGAAAAAATTTAATTGTAAATTTATTATTATTTTTTAGAAGATGGCAATTCAAATTTTCTACTTATTTTCTATCTGTTATGGTAATTTGAGTCTTTCATCAAGCTATTTGTCCATTCCCTGCATCCTATTTTTCTCTGGTCCATCTGCTCACCCCTTCAACCCATTCTCTTTCAAATTGGGGCTAATGGGGCATGAATATTAAGAACGTTTTTAGAATTTTTTCTACTCATTTTCTCCCATAAAGTTGCTGAGCAAGCTGGGTTAAGTACCCAACAAATTCCTAAAATCTTCTCTTGGCTTCAACTTGACAAAGATTATGGCACAAGGTTTTATATCTTCTTTGTTTAATTTCTACTGATTTTTTTTCCAGTTCTTTTTTTTAATTAAAAAAATTTTCTTTCTCATTTATTTTGTTAGTTTGTCTTTGACCTGACATCATTTCACCAAAATCTTATGTTAAGAATGTTCTGATTTTTTTCCTTTTTGGTGTCTTGGCCTTGCTAACAGAAGACAAAGACATCATTTTCTATTTTTCATATACTCCTCCCTATGACACTGCACACCTAGTAATGACTCAATGACTTGTTGGCTATCAATTGATTGAAGTGTGAGTTATGAACTAGAACATGAATCTTAGTTCATGATCTTTAGATTCTTCACAGTTTTTACAACACTCCCTTCCAAGGTTAAAGTTTTAATGATTTAAAGAAGTATAAACACCTATGGTAAACGAATTTCATTATTTTCATTTTTATTTCTATTCCTATACTTTTCATCCTAGTTGTTAGAAAATGCAATTTCCTTCTCTATTGATTTGATTCTTGTACATTTAGCAAGTATTGATTCTCCCGTGAACTCTTTTGCTGCATTTCTAAGAGAGCAGAAGCTGAAGAGCTTATTTCATTTTATTCAAACAAGCACTAACAAACTAGTTATTCTACAGAAGACAGCTATAATTTTCCCAGCTCCATAGTTTGTAATTGCAATTTAACTGCTTCTTCCATTGTTAAAGACAGCCTATCATCCTTCTACAATTTTTAAAATGATGTTTTTCTTTACTAACTAATTTTCTCCCAAGATGATTTGGTAGCATAACATGGCTTTTTACCATGTGTTGGAAAAATAAAGTAGAATTTCCTGTTTTAAAGTAGATTTTTAAAAACATACATTAGTTTAACATATATTTATAACATATATTTATTGTACCACATAAGTAAAATTTAAATCTAGAACTTGATTACTATTTGAATGATCAAGATGGGAAATATGCTTTAGTTCAAATATAGGAGAGAGAAAATCACAGTCTAAAGAGTAGAATGTTATTTAAGTCCATAGTTCTGAGTTTTATTACCTCATATTCTTTCTTCTTTAATATAATCATAAATGTGTTTTCTAATTTCTTATTACTACAGTTTTCTTATTGATCAACTTTTGATGTTTATTCCAAAGAAACCTGGCAAAATTAAATTGAAATCCTAGGAAGTAATGTCATACCACTATCAATGTGCTGTAATGTTTAGTTAATCTCAGTTATATTCACAATGAACCATATATTTTCTAGCACAATTTTTATTATTTCTGGGTGATACAGAATTTACTTTGTGGAACTCAGTTAATTCATCTGTTAATTAGGGATACTTAAAATAATAAGTGAAGAAATTGTACCAGATGACTTCTCAAATTCCTTCTAACTTACCTGATTCCAATTTTTATCCTTATATAAATTATTACATAATTTTTTTATTTTGGAAAATATCTAAACTCAAAAGATCTTAAAAGATATAATTCTGATTGCACATATTACATGTCAAAGCTAAGAATATTGGAGATATTTTGTCAAAATGCTGGGAACTTAAGGGAAGTTATATAGTGACTCTTAGAGTCCAGGCATGACCAACTATGACAGGATAATGTATCTCTCTAACCTTATTGTTAAAGATCTTCTAGGAAATATTCTCACATTTGCATTGTAGGAAATAGTAATTTTGTTGAGTATTTTGAAAACCAAGTCTAAATCCTGTGTTATAGCACTTTTCCAGAGGAGGTACAGAAGAGTACATTATGTCTGTGCTGAACTCTCCTGGTTTTATGATGACCTGCTGCTCTGAATCTTCCATTTTTATAAGTTGCTGTAATGCTTTGTGTTATTTGTGCTTCTATAGGTGGTAACTGGAAAGTTGCCATAATCACCAGTGACTTGCCAAATGCAGGGACCAGCTCACAGATTTATATTATACTATATGGACACCATAGATGTTCAGCCCCCATATATCTTTATGGAACAGATGGAGTTCGATTTCAGAGTGGCCATGAAGACATCTTTACTGTAAGTAATAAAACTGAGTAAAACCTGTTAATGTAAGTGATACAGCTAGTAGGTACTTTGGAATGAATGCAGTCTATCAAATTGCATGCTTCCTATTGTAACATCATGTGTCCTATAGAAGATCAATCAAAAGTAATTCATTGCGGTTCTTGTTCAAGCAGATTAAACACAGGTAAAACTGCAATATGATAAGAGACAACAGCTAAAGAGAAATACTGGATGGCCAACATTTATCATTTCTGTACTTGTGGCTGTCAGGAGCAAGGACTTATGCCTTTCTGGCTGAGGCTCTAACAGATAAGTCTCAAAGTGAAGGTCAAAAAGGGAAAAATAAAATTATCAAATAATGGAGGACAAAGAAGTTGTCATCAAGTTATTGGTTCATGACTAGACATGTTGAGATCAAGATCTAGGGAGAAACAGAGGTAGCAAAGAAGAAGCAGGGGAGACCAGTGTCATGTTGTTAAACTAACATCAGAAAGATTAGCAGTCAAAGGCAAGACTTGAAATGAGTCAAGCACCTTGCACTTTATAGGTACTTAATAATGTCTGTTGAATTAATGACTGGAAGCATAGATTGTTGTGAACTGGGTAGCAACAGAGAATAAAATCATGATCAGAAAAGAGTGTCCTTAAATATCTGAGATCTTTACAGGATACCCACTTCCACGTGATCCTGGGTGTTTGGTTTACTACAACCTGTGTACTCAGCCCACATATGTTATAGGAAAGGCTGAACCATTTGGAACCAAGCTAATAGTTTAGTTTGATCTATCCTTTCCATACTTTCTATATGTGTTGATATTTAAAGAAACTCTTTCTTGTGTTGATGGTCACTACAAATAAAAGTAAAAAATGAAGACTTTGTCATTATTTTGCACCTGTAAGAAATAATTTTGGAACTGACTACACCAAAAAAGTCTAAGCTGTTTTTGTTGTTGTTCTTTTGCTATTTTATTATTTCAAGTTCACTTTTAAATCAAATTATACCTTCACATGTATGTAGAGTTAAATCATTCTGAATCTGTAGTAAGAAAGGAGCACCTTTGGCCCCATGGCCTAGTGGTTAAGTTTGGCACACTGCTTCTGTGGCCAGGGTTCAGTTCCTGGGTGCAGACCTACACCACTTGTCAGTGGTCATGTTGTGGCAGTAACCCACATACAAAATAGAGAAAGATTAGCAACAGATGTTAGCTGAGGGCTAATCTTCCTCAAGCAAAAAGAGGAAGATTGGTGACAGATGTTAGCTCAGGGTGATTCTTCCTCAGCAAAAAAAAAAAAAAAAGAAAAGAAAAAGGAGCACCTTTAACTCCTTGTTCCCATTTCCTCTTCCCACAGGAAAGCATTTTCATAGTTTGGTGCTTCTTTTTTCTGAGTACTGCTACCTACATTTCAGCTCTTTCAGTTGTCTTGCTCTCTCTTGCTCAAGCCCTGGGATTGCTACATTTCTATCTTGTTTGTAGAGGTGATGGCTTCATTAAGTTTAGTAATTTGATGCCTATTTTGATGGTAGTTTTCATTCATTCTGATGAATTGTTTTCTTTTAAGGTTTCTTAGGTAAATTTTTGCTTTCCCTTCTTTCCTTTTTCCTTATACTTTCTTTATATAGATATAGATCTTTTCTTTTCCTTTTTATTGTGATAAAATCCACAAAATAAAACTTACCAGTTTAACTATTTTAAAGTGTACAATTCACTGGCATGTAGTACAATCACAGTGTTGTTCAACCATCACCATTATCTATTTCCTGAGCATTTTAGTCACCCCAAAAGGAAACGTCATTATGCAGTCACTCCCCATTTATTTTCCCCCAACCCCTAGCAACCTCTAATCTGTTTTCTGTCTTTAAGGATTTGCCAGTTCTGGATACTTCATATAAAGGGAATCATATAAAATGTGGCCTTTTGTGTCTGGCTTCTTTTACTTAGCATAATGTTTTCAAAGTTCATCCATGTTATACCATGTATCAGTACTTCATTCATTTTTATGGCTGAATAATATTTCACTGTATGGAAATACCACATTTTTTAAATCCATTCCTCTGTTCATGAACATTTGAGTTGTTTCTATCCTTTGGCTATTGTGAATAGTGCTTCTATGAACATTTGTGTACAAGTGTTCTTTTTTTTTTTGAACACCTGTTTTCATTTTTGAGTATGCACCTAGAAGAGGAATTTCAGGGTCATGTGGTAATTCTGTCTTTAACTTTTTGAGGAACCACCAAATTATTTTCCACAGTGGCTATACCATTTTACATTTCCACCAGCAGAGTATGAGGGTTCCAATTTCTCCACATCCTCACCAATGCTTGTTATTATCAATTAGAAAAAGAATCTAGCCAAACCTCATGAATGTGAATTGGGATTTTATTGTTATTTTGATTTACATTTCCCTAATGATTAATGATATTGAGTATCTTTTTATGTGCTTGTTGGCCATTTGTATATCTTCTTTGAAGAAATATCTATTCAAGTCCTTGTCCTATTTTTTAATTGGCTTGTTTTTCCTTTTGTTGTTGAGTTGTAAGAGTTCTTTGTGTATTATGAATACTAGACTCTTATCAGAAATATGATTTGCCAATATTTTCTCCAATTTTGTGGATTGTCTTTTCACTGTTGATAGTATCCTGTGATGCACAAGAACTTTTAATTTTGATGATGTCTAATTTATCTATTTTTTATTTTGTTGCTTGTGTTTTTGGTGTCATATCTAAGAAACCATTGCCAAATCCAAGATCTTGAAGCCTTTTGCATGTGCATACTTAGTAATCCTGGCACTATTTGTTAAAGAGACTATTTATTCCTCATTGAATAGTCTTGTACTCCTGTTGAAATAGATGTATAGGGTTTATTTCTTGATTCTCAAGTCTATTCCATTGATCTGTATGTCTGTTTTTATGCTTGTACTGCACAATTTTCATTACCTTAACTTTGTAGTAAATTTTGAAATCAGAAAGTATGAGTCCTTAAGCCTTGTTCTTATTCTTCAACATTGCTTTGGCTACATGTGGCCCCTTGCAATTCCATATGAATTTTAGGATCAGCTTTTCCATTTCTACAAAACAGTCCATGGGGGTTTTGATAGGGATTACACTGAATCAGTAGATCGCTTTGGGTAGTATTGACTTCTTATCAATATTAAGCCTTCCAATCCATGAACATGATATCTTTACAATAATTTAGGTCTTCTTTAATTTCTTTCAGCATTGTTTTGTAGTTTTTCTTGTATAAGTCTTATACCTCCTTTAAGTTTATTCCTAAGAATTTTGTTGTTTTTGATGCTATTGTGAATAGAATTGTTTTCTTAATTTCTTTTTCGTATTGTTCATTACTAATGTAAGGAATTGCAACAGATTTTTTTGTTGATCTAGTAACCTGTAACTTTGTGGAATTCATTTATTAGCTCTAATAGTTTTTTGTGGAATCTTTAGGATTTTCTATATATCAGATTATATCCTCTGTGATAGAGATAGTTTTATTTCTTCCTTTCCAATTTGGATGTTTTTTCATTTCTTTTTCTTCTCTAGTTGCTCTACCTATAACTTCTAGTACAACGTTGAATAGAAGTCATGAAAACTGGCATCCTTGTCTTGTTCCTGATTTAGGAGGAAACATTCAGTCTTTCACCATTAAGAATGCTGTTATCTGTGGGTTTTTCAAAAATGCCCTTTATGATGTTCAGTTCCCTTCTATTCCTAGTTTATTGAGTGTTTTTATCATGAAAGTGTGTTGGGTTTTGTCAAATGCTTTTTTTGCATCAATTGAGATGACTGTGTTTTTTTTCCTCTTCATTCTATTTGTGTGGTCTATTACATTGATATTTGTATGTTGAACCACTCCCTATTCCTGGGATAAATCCCATTTGGTCATGGTATATAACCCTTTAATATGCTTCTGGCTTCAGTTTGCTAGTGTTTGTTGAAGATTTTTGCCTCTATATTTAGAAAGGGTATGTGTCTGTAGTTTTTCTTTTCTTGTCATGTCTTTGTCTGGCTTGGTATCAACTATACTTACCTTGTAGAATGAGTTACGAAGTGTTCCCACTGCTATTTTTTGGAAGAGTTTGAGATGAATTGGTGTTAATTCTTCTTTAAATATTTGGTAGAATTCACCAGTGAAGCCATCTGTCCTAGGCCTTTCTTTGTTGGGAGGTTTTTGATTACTGCTTCAATCCAAAGCAGTACTTTACTTGTTATAGGCCTATTCAGACTTTCTGTTTTTTCTTGAGTCCGTTTCGATAGTTTGTGTGTTTCTGAGGATTTGTCATTTCATCTAGGTTATCTAATTTGTTGGCATACAATTGTTCATGATATTCTTTTATATTCCTTTTTATTTCTGTAAGGTCAGTAGTAATGTCCCTATTTTCATTTATGATTTTAGTAATTTGTTTTCTTTTTTCCTTCGGCTAGCTAAATGTTTGTCAATTTTGTTGTTCTTTTTGAAGAACCAGTTTTTGGTTTTGTTGATTCTACTGTTTTTCTATTCTCTATTTTATCACCATTTTAATCTTTATTATTTCCTTTCTTCTGCTAGCTTTGCATTTAGTTTTCTTTTGCTAGATCCTTAAATTGTAAGGCTAGGTTATTTACTTGAGATCTTCCTTCTTCTCCTTCCATTTCCTCTTCTTCCTCCTTCCTTCCCCCTTCCCCATTTTCCTCTCCCTCTCCTCCTTCTCCTTCTTTTTGCTGAGAGTCTCCGAATTTATTAGATCAGAATCTTCAAAAAGGTTTTGTCTCACAGCAAGCGTGCCAATCTACTTGATGGGCACCTGTCTGAAATGATTTCTTCCTTTAAGCACATGCAAATTTTATGGAATTACAGCTAAAATTTCCCTCTGAGTTCTGCTTTCAATGTATCCCCTATGTTTTTTGTATGTTATTTTTTTTCATTCCTTCCAGTATTTTTTGAATTTCCATTGCAATTTCTTTGACTCATTGGTTGCTTAAGAGTATGTTGTTTCATTTACACCATATTTGTGGATTTTTCAGTTTTCTTTCTAATATTGATTTCTAGATTCATTCCAGTGTGGTTAGAAAAGATACTCTGTATGATTTCAGTCTTATTTAATTTTCAAAACTTGTTTGTGACATAATGTATGGTCTGTCCTGGAGAAAATTCCGTGTGCACTTGAGAAAACTGTGTATTCTGCTGTTGTTGAGTGGAATGTTCTGTAAATGTCTGTTAGAGCTAGTTGGTGTATAATGTTGTTCAAGTCCTCCCTTTCCTGATTGATCTTCTGTCTAGTTGTTCTATCCATTATTTAAAGTGGGGTATTGAAGTCTCCGACTATTATTCTAGACTATTTCTCAATTTAGTTCTCTCAATTTTTGCTTCATATATTTTGGCACTCTGTCATTAGGTGTATACATGTTTATAATTCTTATATCTTCTTGATGGATTGACTCCTTCATCTTAATATGAGCTGTTTTTAAATGGATTTTGTGAATTACATTGAAAGACGTTCTCTTGGTTCCTTTATAGATCATGGTTGGAGACATTGGAACACTCTTTAAGATTCGTATTGGTCATACCAACTCTGGACTCTCCCCTTCCTGGCACTGTAAAGAGGTAAAGACATATCAACACTCCCATACTTTGCAAAATCCTCTGCAAATTCCATTCAGGAATCAAACCTCAAGGAGGCATTTTACTCCTATTTTGAGTTGACGGAGTCAAACTTGGACCTTTTTCAGTCAGTGTATTCCTCAGGGCAGCAGTATCATATGCCCTTCTTAATAATTTAATCCCTCATTAATTGAGGGAAGCTCCTCAACCAAACAATCCTTTCACCTCTTTCCAAAGAAAAGAAAATACTTGGGACTCTGGATAAACTCATATTACTTCTTGATACCATTGCACTAATGATGAAAAAGTGACTAGGTGGATGTTATCTGCTTCAGGAGGGTTGTAAAAATAGACCATTTGTGCCAGTGAAATAATAATCTACTAGACTTGAAACCCTCTCTCAAATTTAGTCTATTCATGCTAGCCAAGATAATGCCTCCTGAGTACTTTTAGGAGCAAAAAAAGGGCTTACATTTTCTACAATTGTTCAGAATTAAAAATTGTACTTATTACCACGATTGCCAATAAATGCAGATGTTTGACACTGGAAATCATACAGCTTGTCATCCATTTTTGTGTATGGTACATTTCCATCTTTTGTCATTTCGCAGTAAATGATCTTTAAACAAGTTCTCAAAATGCAAAGAACATCTAGTTAAACTCCTGATATTCTTGGCAAACTTGTTCTACAGTTTTATAATATGTGAGAAAATTAATGAAAAATTCATTGAAGATGAGTAATCCCTTAAAAACATATTTTTTATTCCATTAGCAGAAACACATAGTGGTTAATAATGCCATCTTCTTTACATTAAAGTCATAAAAGATCCCGAAGCAGAATGAAAAAATAAAACTCACTTTATGAAAATATAGAATGTAGAAGTTAGATTTCAAAATTCAAAATTATTGCCTGGCTTGTATATGAAATAATATTCTCTTTTATGCTATATAGAGCTTTTGAAGTATGATATTCAAATTGATATTTAATTGACCATATATAATAATATCTTTTACTTTTTTCTCTCCTAGTAAGCTAAACTAACTTACAAAAATTATCATTAATCCTCCTTCCATATCATTTGAGTAATAATCAATAAACAATATTATATTCATTATTAAGCTGGGATGCTGAGACAGTGGTTAAGTGATCTGAAAAGATTATATAATATTGCGGAGGAAAGACAAAAACTCAGGCTGAAAATTCCTGTTGTCTTTCTCCCTATGGCAAGTACTCTCTCATTGCAAGACAACTTGTTTGCTTGAGGTTTACCTCACCTGTCTGAGTACCAGTGAAGAAGAGAGATGTTCTTGATTCAACGTTTTATTCTGAGTATATAAAACTCTTATATAATTTACCCATTTGGCCAAATTGGGAATTTTCTGTTTGATTCTTATAATACAGTTTAAAAGTTTGAAATTTAAAATTTTAAGTAAACTAGTGCCAATAACTTGAGGGGATTAGAATTAAAACACTGAGTCCATTATCGCAATTATGATACAATATTTCCATAGTTCATAAAATAATCACATTGCTTTGAGGATCTTAATCTTGATTCTTTCAAGTTTAGTTAAGCAAGATTACAAAATAAAAAGTTTCAAATGGTGATTTATTTTGTATTTCTCAAATGATCTGCCTTGCTCTTTAATTAAAATAACCAAGTCAAATAGTGATGGCAGCGGTAGCAGCCTTGCAAACCAAGGGTAATTCTGTGTGGTTCTCAGGGAGCGTTTCTAAAAGTGTGATTGCACGAGAATTACACTTGATGTGAATTCATGAGTGCAAATTTCTGGGCCTTACCAAGACCCCCAGAATTAGTAGCTTTACAGACTGAAAATCTACTTTTATGACAATATGACTTCTTAAACACATCAAAGTTGAAAAACTCTGATTTAAGGCATTTTACAGACAGTAAGATTAATTTAACAAGTAAAATAACACCTCACTGGAACTTTTAAAAGAATAATAGTGCCCTACTCATGAAAGCCTAGATTTTAGAATCAGAAAACATAATTTCTATTTTTTGCTGATTTTTGACATTCATCTGATCTTACCAGAATTTATTAACATCTTTATTTAACTCCAGGATAAATGGATTAGATAGAATATAGTATCATAGGTACCCAAATAAATAATTACTGCTTGAATTTCATTCATTGCTAAGGACCCACGGAGGGAAATATATCAGTTTGAATCTGTATTACGTGAAATTTAGCTCATGCTAATGTTTTATAAAATCACCTTAAAATAAAAAAACTCATTACTAAGAGGTTGGAACAGGGGAATAATAGACTTTTAAAAATTATAAACATCTCTTTCTAAATAGGAAAATATTGATGGCACTGAGAAAATTTGGGAGGTAATTGGCATTTTTAGCATTTCAATATAGAGAAATTAGAAATAGAAAAATTTCAAAATAGAGAAAAGAAATGCCATTGTACTTGAGATGGCAATAAAAGAAGAAATTAGCACTTTTCTTGTCAAGTATTCAACAACTTCTTTTACTAAAGAAAAGCAAAATGATCTTCCCTGAGCTAAGTGTCAGGTTTGGACAAAAACTTTTATTTGACTTTTTGATAAAGTATTCTTACATTTTTTTAGAATTAATATTGTTGCTATTGTAGATACAATTGTGGAACATGAATTCTAGAAGAGAGTTTTATATACCTGTTCAACGATGGTTGGCACGAGATCAAGAGGATGGGGAAATCTGTCGAGAATTTCCTGTTTTAAACAAAGGACAACCCATCCTGCCAGGTAGGGAAGATCCAACTCCAGGCAGCACAGATAAAACTTGTTTGCCTAAATGCTGAAGGACAGGAAACTTAATGCATACATGTTGGTTAAATGAATGAATGATTAAAGAACTGCTCTTTTCTTACCAATTACCTCTGCTGGTGTGACAGGTGCATCTAAATTTTTTCAGCTGTTTCATGTACTGGCATTCAGGAATATGTTGTTGTCAACAGTTAGCCCTGTAGGAAGGTCAGTTTGTTTCCAATATCTATAAGTTTGTTTTGTTTGTTTGTTTTGTTTTTTAGATTCTATATATAAGTGAAATCATACAATATTTATCTTTCTCTGACATTTCACTTAGTATAATACCCTCTAGGTCCATTCATGTTGTCACAAATGGCAAGATTTCCTTATTTTTTATGGCTGAGTAATATTCCATTGCATGTACAATGTATTCTGTCGTATGTATGTATGTGTGTGTGTGTGTGTATATATATATATACCACATCTTTTTTATTCATCTATTGATGGACACTTAGGTTGCTTCCATATCTTGGCTATTGTAAATAATGCTGCAAAGATCATAGGGGTGCATATATCTTTTTGAATTAGTGTTTTTGTTTTATTCAGATAAAACCCAGAAGCTGAATTGCTGAATCATATGGTAGTTCTGTTTTGGGGGGGTAAGTGAAATAGGTGAAGGAGATAAAGAAGTACATCATGGGGATGTAATAATGTACAGCATAGAGAATATAGTCAATAATATTTTATGAACTTTCTATGGTGACAGATGGTAACTAGACTTGTGGTGATCATTTCATAATGTATATAAACATAGAATCACTGTGATGGACACCTGGAATTAATAGGATATTATATGTCAATTATACTTCAATAAAAAAATCATTATATTGTATACCTTATACTAGTGCAATATTATATGTCAATTATATCTCAATAAAACTGGAAAAGAAATAATAAAATAAAATACCAGCTATAATTATTCTCAGCATTCTTCCTCATCTGCCCATTCGCTTCACCCAGGAGGAGACATTTGCCAGGTTCCCTGTTCCTACCCACTGTTAGTAATGATGCAGGGGTCACTTTTTGCTTCTTCATCTCTCATTTTAATTGTAAAATTCTACTCAAAGAAGTCATATTCTGCAAATACATACTGATTTTCATTGGCTTTCTGTACTACTTGGTACTAATGGATTATTAATAAACATTTTTATTTTCAGTTTCTCCACATGGCTTCGTGAAACCTCTCATGTGTTATCTCTCATGTGCTATTTATAAACTTGGTAAGCCTTTAGTTATCCAGGTCAGTGGTATATAGAGCACATGATAGCTGACCTCAGCTATATTTTTGCCTAATAATCTAGCAAAGATTGATACTATGGATGAAAAGATATTGCAAGCAACAGCCTTCACTGGAGATAGAGATATCAGTTCTAGGTGGTATAAATAAGGAAAAGCTGGATTAGTGTCTTTTTTGCTGTATTGCATATAGCATCTTTCCATAAAGAGTTAGGGTAGTATTTGTCATTTAAGGTAAAAGGAAATCTAAGAGTGTTTGCCTGGCTAACCAGTATACTATGTTGTGTACCTGAAAAAATACATTCTGTAATTATGGATTATTTTTCTGCAGAGGGTAAAAATTGCTAAGAAAACCAGAGCAAAATTGGCCTCTCTCAGGCTGTGCAAGATGTATTTTTTTAATTTTTATTTTTATTTGTGGTAACAAACACATAACATTAAATTTACTGTCTTAAACATTTTTAAGTGTAAATTTCAGGAGTGTTAAGTATATTACCATTGTTTTGTAACAGATCTCTAGAACTTTTTTTATCTAAAGCTGAAATTCTATTTCTTCTTGTGTGAGTTTTGGCAGATTGTGTCTTTCAAGGAATTGGTCCACTACATCTACATTATCAAATTTGTGGACATAGAGTTTGTGCATAGTATTCCTTTATAGTTGTTTTAATTTTCCACGGGATCTGTAATGATGTTCCCTCTTTCATTTCTGATATTAGTAATTTGTGTCCTCTCTCCTTATTTCTTATTTAGGCTGGCTAGAGACTTATTGATTAATAAAATCTTTTCAAAGAACCAGCTTTTGGTTTCATTGATTATCTCTATTGATTTCCTGTTTTTTCAGTTTGATCAATTTCTGCTTTCAGTCTTATTTATTTTCTTCTTGTTTACTTTGGGTTTAATTTGCTGTTCCTTTTCTAGTTTCCTAAGGTGGAAACAGATGATTGATTTTAGATCTTTCTTCTTTTCTAATGTATGCATTCAATGCTATAAATCCCTCCAAGCATCGCTTTTGCTGCATCCCACAAATCTTGATAAGTTGTGTTTTCTTTTTCATTTAGCTTAAAATATTTTAAAATTTTTTTTGAAATTTCTTCTTTGACCTATATGTTATTTAGAAATGTATTATTAATCTCCATGTATTTTGGGATTTTCCAGTTATCTTTCTCTTGTTGATTTCTAGTTTAATTCCACTGTGGTCTAAGAGCAGACATTGTCTGATTTCTATTCTTTTAAATTTGTTAAGTTGTGTTTTATGGCCCAGACTGTGGTCTATCTTGGTGAATATCCCATGTGAGCTTGGGAAGAATGTGTATTCTGCTGTTGTTGAATGAAGTAATCTATAGATGTGAATTATAAACTGTTGACTGATAGTGTTATTGAGTTCACCTATGTCCTTATTGATTTTTTGCCATTTCTGTCCATTTCTGAGAGGTGGATGTTGAAGTCTCCAACTATGATAGTGGATTCATTTATTTCTCTTTGCAATTCTGTCAGGTTTTGCCTCACGTAGTTTGATGCTCTGTTGTTAAGGTGTGTTTGTATGAAGAATTATCATGTCTTCTTGGAGAATTGACCCTTTCATCATTAGTAATGCCCTTTTATAGCCAGCCCTGGTAGTCTAGTGGTTAAGATTCGGTGGTGGCCTGGGTTCGTTTCCCAGTCAGGGAGCCACACCACCCATCTGTTGGTTGTCATAGTGTGGTTGCTGCATGTTGCTGTGATGCTGAAAACTATTCCACTAATATTTCAAGTACCAGCAGAGTAACCCATCATGGACATGTTTAAGCAGAGCTTCCAGACTGAGACATGCTAGGAAGAAGGAACTGACCACTCATTTCCGAAAAAATCGGCCATGAAAACCCTATGAATAACGGCAGAGCATTGTCTGATATAGTGCTGGAAGGTGAGAAGATGGCACAAAAACACCAGGCAGGGTTCCACTCTGCTGTACACAGCGGCACTAGGAGTCGGAATCAACTTGCCAGCACTAACAACAGAAATGCCCTTCTTTATCCTTGGTAACTTTCCTTGCTTTGACATGTGCTGTCTGAAATTAACAAAACTACTTCTGCTTTCTTTTTATTAGTGTTAGCATGGTATATTTTTCTTTATCCATTTACTTTTAATCTATTTATGTCTTTATATTTAAAGTGGTTTCTCGTAGACAACATATAATGGGGTCTTAGTTTTTGATCCACTCTCAAACTCTGTCTTTTAATTGGTGCATTTAGACCATTGATGTTCAAAGAGATTATTGATATAATTGGATTAATATCTACCATATTTGCTACTGTTTTCTATTTGCTGCCCTTGTTTTTTGTTCCTATTTTGTTTTTCACTGTTTTTCTGCCCTTTGTGGTTTTAATTGATTTAATCAAGAAAATCATTCTATTTTCTGTCTTAGCATATAATTTATAATTTTTTTTAAACTTTATTTAGTGGTTTCCCTAGAGTTTGCAAATACGCTTTTACAACTAATCCAAGTCCACTTTCAAATAACACTATACTTCTTCATGGGTAGTGTGAGTACCCTGTAATAACAACATAATCTAATTTTCCTCTCCTATCCCTTGTATCATTGCTGTAATTCATTTCTTATATGTATAAGCCTACATAAGCATATATATGGATATACGATATATACATTGTTTCTATTATTATTTTGAACAAACTGTTATCTGTTAGATCAAATAAGAATAAGAAATATAAAGTTTTTGTTTTATCTTATTGTTTCTTTGATGCTTTCCTTTCTTTATGTAGATCTGAGTTTCTGACCTATATTATTTTCCTTTTCTCTACAGAACTTTTTTAAACATTTGCTGTAAGGCAGGTCTATTGCCAACAAATTCTCTCAATTTTTGTTTGTCTGAGAAAGTCTATTTCTCCTTCACTTTTGATGGGTAGTTTCTCAGGGTACAGAATTCTAGGTTGATTTTTTTTCTCTCAACACTAAATATTTCACTCTATTCTCTCCTTGCTTGCATGGTTTCTGAGAAGTTAAATGTAATTCTTATCTTTGTTCCTGTATAAGTAAGGTGGGTTTTTTTTTTCTGTATATTCCTTCAGGATTTTTTCTTTATCTTTGATTTTTCTGTAGTTTGAAAACAATATGCCTAATGTAGTTTTTTTTCTTTTTTTGGCATTTATCATGCCTGATGTTCTCTGAGATTCCTGGATCTGTGGTTTGGTGTCTGACATTAATTTGAGGAAATTTTCGGTCGTTATTGTTTCAAATATTTCTTTTGTTCCTTTCTCTCTCTTTTCTCCTTGTATGTCCATTATATGTATGTTACACCTTTTGTAATTGTCCTATAGTCCTTGTTTTTCAGTCTTTGTTCTCTGTACTTTTCAGTGTGGAGGCTTCTATTAATATATCTTCAAAGCCCAGAGATTTTTCCCTCAGCAGTGTAGTGTCTACTAATAAGCCCATCAAAAGTATTCTTTGCTTTTGTTCCAATGTTTTTGATCTCTAGCATTTCTTTTTGGTTCTTTCTTAGGATTTCCTTCTCTCTACTTACATTACCCATTTGTTTTTGCTTGTTGTCTATATAATCCATTAGAGCCCTTAGCATATTAATCATAGCTGTTTTAAATTCCAGTCTGGTAATACCAACAGCCCTGACATGTCTGGTTCTGATGCTTGCTCTGTCTCTTCAGATTGTGTTTTTTACCTTTTAGTATGCATTGTGATTTTTTTCTTG